CACTGGTGGACCAAAGGTTGGTGTCCCACAGAAAGTATGAGATACTTTCCCATTATTTCTCGTCTGAAGAGGATGTTTAGGTCAGAGGCAACAGCAAGAGAATTACGGTGGCATAGTACTAATAAGAGCAGTGATGGAAAGCTTCGTCATCCGGTTGATTCAGTAACATGGGAGCATATGGACGCCAAGTTCCCTTCATTTGCCGCTGAGGAAAGGAACATTAGGCTTGGACTATCAACCGATGGCTTTAATCCATTCAACATGAAGAATACAAGGTACAGCAGTTGGCCTGTTCTTTTAGTTAATTATAATATGGCTCCTAATCTATGCATGGCGAAGGAGAACATAATGCTTTCTTTGTTGATTCCTGGTCCGCAACAACCAGGAAATAGTATAGATGTATACTTAGAACCGCTGATAGATGATCTGAACCAGCTTTGGGAGAAGAGCGTGCTTACATACGATGCACTAAGTGGTACCACTTTTACTTTGAAGGCGATGCTTCTTTGGACCATTAGTGACCTACCAGCTTCCGGGAATCTCGCAGGGTGCAAAGTAAAAGGTAAGATGGGTTGTCCTTTGTGTGGGAAACACACCGACAGTATGTGGTTGTCTAATAGTAGAAAGCATGTCTACATGGGTCATAGAAAATGGCTGTCACCTACACATCAATAACGTGGGAAGAAGGCATGGTTTGATGGTAAAACTGAGCACGGGAGGAATGGTCGGATACTAACTGGTCATAACATTTACACCCTTCTAAGGAATTACAAAAACAACTTTGGGAAAATGAAAGAGGATACTAGGAAACAGAAACAAACTTTAGTACCCGTTGAAGAGTGTAATTCTGATAGTGACGAAATTGACAGTGAGTCTGAAGATGAGGAAGAAGTCGAAATAGATGAGGAAGAGCTATCAAGGTGGAAGAAACGGTCGATTTTTTTCAATCTTCCGTACTGGGAGGTAATAATTCAATTTTAACACTTTTGCGTTCAATATTATATGGTTCTCCAATTACTCAAAGGGTTAACGTTTTCTAAATGACAGGAACTACCGGTAAGACATAACTAAGATGTGATGCATGTGGAGAGAAATGTAGCCGCGAGCATAGTTTCAACACTGCTACATTGTCGAAAATCAAAGGACGGCCTCAATGCACGTAAAGATCTTCAAGTACTTGGAATCAGGAAGGATTTGCACCCTAGACCACAAGGAAAGAGAACCTATCTGCCTGCAGCACCGTGGTCGTTGTCCAAAGAAGAAAAGAAAATATTCTGCAGTCGGCTACATGAATTCAAAGGACCAGATGGGTATTGCTCCAACATTTCGAGGAGCGTATCTGTAGATGACCCTAACATCATGGGAATGAAGTCTCATGACTATCACGTCTTGATGCAACAACTTCTACCAGTTGCATTACGAGGTCTGCTACCTAAAGGACCTCGAGTTGTTATTATACGCTTATGTGCTTTCTTTAACAAGCTGTGTCAACGGGTTATAGATAGAGAGCAGATTGCAGTAATAGAGATTGAAATAGTGGAGACTCTTTGTATGTTTGAGCGGTTTTTCCCACCCAGCTTCTTCGATATAATGGTGCATTTGTGTCTCCATCTAGGAAGAGAAGCCAGACTGGGTGGACCAGTCCACTTCAGATGGATGTATCCATTTGAGAGGCAAGTACTGTATTCATTTTTGTTATTCGAATTTGTTAGTGTCTTGTTTATCTTATTTAACTTATTTGTTTTGACTACAATTCATATTTCACAGGCACATGAAAATATTGAAGGATTACGTAAGAAATCCTGCAAGACCAGAGGGCTGCATAGCTGAGTCTTACCTATCGAAGAAATGTATGCAGTTCTGCAATCTGTTTTTGAAGAAAACCACCAGTGTGGAGGACATTCCTGAACGTAATGTTGAGTACGAAAGTAGAACCATACTTGAAGGTCGGCCAATATCCGCAGCTAAGACTATTACTCTCAATGAGATAGACAAGAACATAGCCCATTTGGCTGTCCTTCAAAATACTGCATTGGTCGAACCATATGTTGAGTAAGCCATTACAGTTTCCCTTTTGATTTTTTTAAATTACCGTCTATAAAACTAGTTAAACTAATTTGTTCAAAAATTTGCAAGCATGCATTTGCAATCTCTTCAGGATAGTAATGGAAGGTGTAGGCGTGATGCTATTTTCCTGTGGAATATGCACACTAAGAATTTTGCTGATTGGTTGAAAAAACAGGCGAGTTGTTGTGTATATACCCTAAAATAAAGTCAACTGTAGTATATTGTATCTGACTCATTGTTTATTTTCATTGCTAGATACGTATTGATTCTGAAGCCCATGACGAAACTCTCTAATGGTTAGCCTTTGGACCGCGCTGTACTGCACGTTCTTACCGGATATGTTATCAATGGGCTGCGGTTCCACACAATCTCTGTTGACAGGCAAAGTCAGAATAGTGGTGTTTTCTATGAGGCAACGGCGATGTGCAGAGCAAGTGCTCGTGATACCGCTCAAGTAGCAGACCTTGTTTCCTACTACGGAAGAATTGTCGACATAATTTTGTTAGATTACAATGTTTTCTATATACCAATTTTCAGATGCCAGTGGGCTGTCAGAGGGAATGGGGTTAAGGTTGAAGATGGCTTCACACTAGTAAACCTGAATCATAGCCAAGTATCATTTGCGCGAGATCCTTTCATACTAGCATCTCAAGCGAAACAGGTTTTTTACTCGAGGGATCTTGAGTCTTCGAGCTGGTATGTTGTCCTGAGATGCCCCACAAGAAGCTAAAAAGAAGAGGAATGACGAACATGCAGATGTTGGACCTTTACCCACTGATGTTGATATGGACTTAGAAGATACAGACAATGATGCTCCAATTGCAAGAAGTGATTGTGAAGGGATTTATGTCTAGCTAATGCTATTTATTTAGAAAAAATCTAGATTATCAGTCAGCCTGGTTGAGTCTTCATTACTTTTGAATTATGTCAATTACAGAGTTACATGGATTGGATGGTGTTTTCAGGTAATTCACTATGGGTCAGAAGAAGAGAGGTGTAAAAAGCAAGAAACAAGTGAAAGAGGTTGAGTTTATTCGTACCATATATCTCAAACCAACCACGGTGACGCAGACTCAGACTGACGGTTGTGACACACCGGATGATCATCTACAACAGTCAGATGATGTTCAGAACGAACTGGACAATCTGCATACAAACGATGAAACTCAGAGCCCCGACGTAAACATGAACACTGAAGATCAGACTATGAATGAAGGAGCAGACAAAGTACCTGAGGTAGACACTACTGCGCCAGAATTACCACTCCATACGCTTGACTCAGAAGGCCCTCCTACTGTCCCTCAGCAGAAAAGGCATAGAGGACCGACGAAGATGAAGGACATAGCAAGAGATCCAAATAGCCGTATAAGGATTGATTTCACATACATGGGAGAACTGTGTGGACCAGGATCGGTAAAGCTGTCTTCATATTTAGGTCCTTTGGTTCGTGAACATGTGCATGTCTTAATTGAGGATTGGAGGAAGATAGGTGAAGAGTTGAGGACCGTCCTTTGGAAATCTGTACAGGTATTCATATGTATAATAATAGCAATAATGGTTATATTAATACGTGACTTGTGATTGAATATACAAGGTAATTATTGTAATTGAAAAACAGACAAGGTTCGAATTAGATGAAGAGTTCCAGAAGGTTGCCGTTTTCAAGCAGATGGGCTGTATTTGGAGGGCATCCAAATCGAGATTAGTTGGATAGATAAGGAAGTGTAAGAACATTTCGGACAGGTTGAAGCTGCGACCGAAAAATATTCCACCCACAGAGTGGCGTAAATTTGTTAAGTTGAAAACCAGTCCCGCGTTTAAGGTAACTCACAGCACTCATCTTTTCGTTTTATATATGTTTAACTCATATCTGTTTACAGTTTGTCAGTGACAAATACAAAGAAAGAAGACAAAAGCAGATTCCGCATACTTGTAGCAGGAAGGGAATGGTCCGACTAACTGAGGAGATGGTAATTCTTATTTCTGTTTTTCAGCGATGTCCTTTTTAATCTTTTTTACAGCAATGTCCTCTTTTAAAAACGAACTTTCATGTGTTACAGAAACAACAAAGCTCACAGCCTTCGAAAGTGACGAGAGTGAAGGTATGGGTCAAGTCAAGAACAAAGAAGGATGGCACAGCAGTGATAACACCGTATTTTGACCACTTTTATGAATAGTTTTGAAATACTTTTTCTATGTTTTTAATTGCTTTTAAGTACTTTTATTACGTTTTTCTAGTATTTGTAGTTTCAAGACTCTTTTCAGGTAACTTAGGGAAAAACTTAATAAAATGGATAGAAAACCAGATTTCAGCTCAGAGTCAAACCGTCAGAAGTTCACCCCTGATTGAAGGCCTTCTCACCGTCTGATCCAGCTCAAATTTGGAGACCTTAAAGATGGAAGTATCAGCTTTCCAGTGCATTTTACAGCTTGGCAATCCAACGATTCAATCAAAAGATACGCGAAGAGCAAGATGTCCCGTAAACCAGCTGGCCAGCACTTCCATCCGCGGCCAACAAGCATTTTCCCGCGGTCAGGAGTATCCCGACCGCGGCAAATCACTCATCCACCGCGGTCACACTTGTCCCGACCGCGGCCTTCAACCTCCAAGCCCAAAAAGCCCATTTCTGAAGCCTACATTTGGTGAAACCCTAAGTGACGTCCAGAGAGGTCTTGAGCACTATAAATACATGTCTTAGGAGCCCTAGAAATCGTGTAACCTATCACCACCAAAATATTTACTTCATATTTTTATTGTTTTTGCTTTAGCTTTTAGGGAGAGAGAGATTTGTTCTCTTGAACCCTTGTTCTTTCTTTATCAATTTCGGTTTCTATTCTACTTCTTAATATTATGTCTTTAATTTCGTTCATTATGTCTGAGTAGTTTTATTGTTGGGATTAAGGGATTTTCGATGGGGATTTATATGTTCGGTGAGGATTCCATTGGCTATTGAGCTGAATCTTAGAACTTTTTCTTCTGAATTCGTTTTTACTGCATGAGGGTAGCGTCATGAACTACAATCTGATCCAGATGCTTGGTGACACGAAAGTATTCATCAGGTATCAGATCTAGTTTAGGAGAGCAAAACAAACATAGGAGTGGAAACCTACCTATGGGAGATTTGTGAATTAGGACGAGTCTTAAACATAATGCATCTCTTCTCTTCCAGGGCCAGAGTGGAAAGCTACTTGTCAGGGTTGAGAGAGATAGTTGTCTATGATCACGACAGTGGCGTATTCATACGTCCGTGACTCCAGTTCGAAAAGTTTAAGCTAAGATCTTATCAATTTACTCTCTAGCAATGTTTTGAATCGTTCGTACCCCTGAGAAAACTTCCCTGAACCCCAACGCTTTTTTCTCCATTGATTTCCTGCGATTTTTCTTTAAGCTTTAGTTCAATATTGTCTTTCCTTTTTAGTTCATTTTCATTTAAGCATTAGAATATCCGTTTTTATCATTTTTAGTTATTTTCGTTAAGTTTAGTTATTACGCCATTTAATTTCCGCACTCTCTTTTAATATTTCGTTTTTACATTTTAAACACACCACCAAACCCCCACAAAACCGTTTTTGTTCTAAACTTCCTTACTTTAACTTATTTCAAAGGCTTTTTGCAGCAAAAGATCCTCCTTCCCTGTGGATTCGATCCCTAAGTACTACAATCGATCAGCTGTGCACTTACGGCTATTGATTTCAATTAGGGTAAAACTTGACAACCCACAACACACACCACAAGATCACCATCAAGTTTTTGGCGCCGTTGCCAGGGAAGCCACGCGTTTTCTTTTCTGCAAAACCCCGAGAAAGGTTAGTAAATCGACTCTAGAACCCCCTTTTCTCCAACTTTCCATTTTTCGGTTATTTTGTTTCCATTTCAGAAGATATGGATCATATGAAACGAAATTACTACTATGAGGGAGGTTTTTACAACACTCCTCGAGCCACTCAACGCCGAGAAGCACAATACATTCGTGATCCCTCCTCAATGGATCAGAATTCACGAACCACCACAAAAGAGGACATCGCAAGCACTACAAATCAATTCGTGAAGGTTTAGAAGAAAAAGGATTCTGCTGGGAGACCATAACAACTTACAATACCCACGAAGATGTCCATGATCGTCTCTTTGATGAAGATATGTCGTCTGTCTCCCAAACCGAGATTGATGATATGCTTCAGGAGCTCAATGAATCTATGGATGATGGGTATTGGGTATCTTGTGAAGTAGATGGAGAATCCTCCATCAAGTTTGTTAGAAAGAGGCCATCAAATGAAATTCCTTTGGATCATCACGTCATGGAAGCCAGCCATCAAGAAAAAGGAGAACCTCTTTCCATCCCTAGTGACGATCTCGTCTCTACCGATTCATTCAAGTGTTTTGGAGACTACAAACAAGATCATAAGTCCCTTTCTCTTGATGAACCAAAGCCTTGTTCTCCTTCAGCTCCTCACCACCTTGAATGTAAGACAGACCACGTGGAAGATAAGACACTAATGGTGACATCAAAACCACCATTGGAGGCGCTTTCTAAGACGAAGGATTCCGAGAAGTTTGATGCCCCATTCTCAATCAAGGAAGTGAAATTTCGTGATTCTCTTTGTGAATCTGGACCTGATGTGAATCTCATACCAAAGACCATTGCAGAGAATACAGGTATTTCGATTTTTCATCCCTTGAAGATTGATATTCACTATGGAGATTTTTCTGGTGCAGCTCTACTTGGTTCCAAACCAGAATTGCCTTTTCAAGGGAAAGGTTGTCTTGTTTCTACTGGTTTCCATGCTATGGAGATGAGAAACAATGCAACAAAACCCTTGATACTTGGTATTTCGTGTCTAGCATATGTTGGAACACTCATCAACTACCTGCATCAACATATGAGTTTCCTGAAGATCAACAAGAAAACCCCATACCCGGTGATTACTACAAGAAACTCTCATTGTCTGACAATAGGAGGCGTAGATGATCCAATATTTGACTCTGGAGGA